TGGAAGTGTTGGACTACAGTTGAATCTAACAAAGACAATGTTTATGAGAAATAGTCTCATTCCTGATGTTCCATTCACTCTCAATGGGATGAACATCTCCGAATGCAACAGTTATGTGTACGTAGGTCGAGAAGTCAACATGATGAATGACCTGGCACCTGAGTTGCGCAGGAGGAAGAGAGTGGCTTGGAATGCCTTCAAGAACGTTGAAGAAATAGCTAAGATTACAAAGAACCTCCAGCTCCGGGCACATCTCCTTGATTCCACTGTTCTTCCTGCATTAACATACTCCTCAGAAACCTGGGCCCTACAAAAACAGGATGAGAATGCTATTCGGGTCTCCCAAAAGGAATCGAAAGAGCTATGCTTGGAGTATCATGCTTCACTCAAATGAGAGAAAGAATCCCAAGTTCCGACCTTCGTCGACAGTCAAGAATCAGGGACGCTGTCTCATTTGCCAAGGCATTGAAAATCAGATGGGCTGGACATGTAATGAGATTTGGAGATGACCACTGGACTAGAGCTATTACCGACTGTATTTCAAGGGACGTCAAAAGATCACATGGCTGCCCACCTATGAGATGGTCAGACTTCTTCGTCAAGACCCTGAACGATCAACTTGAGGCTCTTTGTGTTCCTAGAATGAGCAGATGTCATTGGGCTACATTAGCACGTGACAGGGATGAATGGAGACATTACTGGCACCCGCTCGAGCGAATCGTTGAATAACGGGATGTCAAGTGATCAAGTGAAGTGAAAAGTATTTTACATATAAATACAATATTTATGTTAACATATAACTCATTTACATGTTGACACTAATGGATACATTAATAAATATTAAAAATTCTTAATTTCCAATAAACAATTATTGGTGGACATAACTCACATAACCAAAAGCTCTTTATGATCTTCAGTTATTTTGTGTTGAGTAAAGGGGTTCTGAATCCAAACAATTCAAGTCCTGCTGTTGTTAAGTTCATAAATGACAAAGTCAGTTTTAAAGCAGCTGATGAACACTAGCCACTGGAGGGATCCTTGTATGTCTAATATTGACATATCCAAAAATGAAGATTGGAAGGAGTTAGTGGTTCTCTTAGCAGTGTGCACCAGGTGATTTTTTGTGTTTTGTTCATTTTTATTTTCTAAGATTTTTATGATGAGCATGAAAATACATATTTTCCATCCATCTTAAAAATGAATGGAAGAGTGGTTGGAGAGAGGAGAAAAAGGACTGACCGCTTCCAAGTCCCCAATGAAATGAACTGTGTCAGAAAAAAAAACAACTTTATTAGTGATTTTATTTTATTTTTTTTTGTATTTAAGTGTCGGAGAGCCCGGCAAGCTACCGAGAGTATTCGATATGCCAGACACAGTAACAACAAAGTCTCCAATGGAGACGTTACTGGGCCCGCTCGAGCAAATCGAGCAAATCGACAAAGTTGTTCACAATACAGTTACAAGCATGCACCAACCCCACCCCAAGTGTGCCTTCCCTCCACCATTGTTCTTAGTTTCCCACCCATCCCCTACCCTGGGCTTCCTATGCAGGTAGAAAATAATCACTTGTTACAACTAATAGGCTAATGAAATTATCAAAAAAATTTTTAGTCAAAGACAATTTGTGAAAATTGTTATATCACACTGTGGGGTTTACTAAGCTGTTGGTTGCTAGTTGAATCTCCTGTGTTGATGTTTTTGTTTCTTAAGTTTAGTTGGCTTTTGTTACTTTCCCATCTAATTTGGTGCTTCTACTGGGATGTCAGTATTGTGGGCTTTGGAAGTGTCAAGTGACTGCGGTCTCCAGCATGCAAGCATATATTTTGCAATTGGAGAGAGAGGGAGAGAGAAAGAAAGAGAGAAGCTGGCAAAATTCCCTGAGCAGTTATGGGAAGGTAGCAGGTCACCAAAGTGGAAATTTGGGAATTGGGAGAGGTGGGGGGAGGAAGGAGATTTTCTGAGGAAGAGGTCAGGTAGATGGCACAGAGCTCCAGGACACGGTGTTTCTGGGGAACCTTCAAGGGTGGCACAGAGGGGTGTGGTTGGCATTAACCCCAACCTTAGGGAAGAATGAACTTGAATCCAGATTGCAGTGCCTGATTGAGATTCAAAGATTCATTCTGAATTGGAGAAGTGGGCAGAGAGAGACGATGAATGAAAGAGGAAATAAAAAATGGGGAGTCGGTAATGAGAAAGAAGCCTCATGCCTGAACCATGAAGGCTCAGGTTCTAGAAAAAGCTGGGTTTGAACCCCGGTGCAAATCTGGGTAGATTTCTTGATTTCTCAATTCTGTGGTGATCTCATCTTTGCCAAATGGGGACAGACATGTCTTAGATATTTCTGAGACTGACCTGAGTTGTATGGTGAGGATGAAAATCATGGGCTATGTGTGAGCCAGGGGGCATGGATGGGTTGGAGAGAGGACAGCAAGGTCACTTCCAAGTCTCCAATGAAATTAACTGTGTCAGAAACACCTGCTGGAGTAGAACTAAAGGAGTGACTTACTCTAAGATTGCAGATCATAATTAATTGCAGGGAGATTCGCCTCTGCATTAGGTGAGGTCATCACTGAGGATCTGGAGAAAGAAGCTTCAGACCCTTGAGCTGCATGGGCTTGGACTTCCCTGCTGCCCAGCTCTCTTCTCTTCTTTCTTCTCTTCCTCAAACTCGTTTTTTGTTTTATTTTTTTCTTGTTTGGGGGAGGTTACACCAGGTGCTGGTTGGGGGTTCCTCCCAGCAGCATTCAGAAGACCTTGTATGGCGGGGGATTCTGCCTCCAGGAGTAAAATGGGTGGCACAAGACTGAGTGGGGCATGCAGAAAGGGGGATCTAACTTGAGACCTCAATCACAGAATGCAGGTGGTCCATGTCTTGGAGATGTCTCCCAACCCTGCTTACATTTGGAACCAGTGTTTAACAGTTTCAGACACAGATTGAAGGTGTGTCTTCCCAGGTGTCTGGTCAGAGCAGGTGCTCAGCAGATGTTAGTTGCATGAATAAATGATGATAGACATCTTTGACTTACTATGCCCCCCAGAAACCTCACCTGGTTGCTGGTCTCTGCAAAACTGAGGTATCTTCCTGGGGACCCAGGGAAGCAAGCAAACAAGCGAACTTGTACATTTTTTGTAGCACCCAGCAAGGTGGGGGAGAACCCTAATGTATGCTTAAAGCTTTGTTTGGGGACCCCAAGAATCATTTCTCTAGTTTCATCTCCAGTTACTTTCTCCTTCAAATATTCCTCTACCACCCCAATACTCTTTTTCGAGAAATTGAGATGTGTTAGAGACAGAAATCTTAGAACAGGTTTAAGGTGCACAATGTGTTGGTTTGATACATTTATATATTGCAACATCATTGCTACTATAGCATTAGTAACATCGTATTCACAAACACTCCCCTTCCCCAGCCACCCCCCCCCCAAACTTTTCCAATTCGGGGAGTTGCATTTGCAGGTTCCTAATGCACTAACTCCGTCCAGATATCCACATGGCTTGTTATTATCCCAATTCCTTCAAGTCACCTTCTGGATATCAGACCTCCTGGGTCTGGAGAGACAGTAGATAGTATGGCAGACAAACCTCTTGCCTTGCATGCAGCTGACCCAAGTTCCATCCCAGCCATCCCATATGGTCACCCCCAAGCAACTCCGGAGTAATTCCTGAGTGCAGTCAGGAGTAACCCCTGAGAATTGCATTATCAGATCTCACTACCATCCATCTTGCACCCCCAGCCACCCTTCCTCCCTTCTGTTTCTCCAGAGAATTTACACCTGACTTGAGATCTCTTTTGTTCACCTTCCTTACTACAGTGAACATTCTAGGAGGGCAGCGATTTGTGCTTGCTTCTTTCTCATTAACTCATTGTTTGCTTCACTATCTGACCTATGCTCTCAACGGAATGACTGAATTACTTACTTTACTTGAATTTATGCAACTTAAAAAAAAAGTCTGTATTGGAACTTTAAAAAAGTACTGCATAAGAGGGTCGAGGGGAGGGGTGGCAGTGGCCTCCCCAGCCTGAAGGCTAGGAGGGGTCTTTGATTTCCTCTCCCACCCAGCAGTGGGACTTTAAGCATTACCACACCCCTGCGGGGAGTGTATTGTTATTCAAATTTGCTCCAAGGTTTGGCTAGCTACCTTTGTGTTTGCCAACTCCACACCTCCAGGGTGAGGAAGAAGAGAGGTCTCTATTTTAGAGCCCAGATTTTCTAGAGACCCGTGGTGCTGAAATCTCTTTAGAAATACAGATAAGCTTTGCAAGTGACTCCTCCCATTTCTACCAGACTGCCGTTTACAAAGCGTGTCTGATAGGAAGTGCCACTATTTATATCAAGAAATTCCAACTTGGATCCAATAGCGAATGCTTGTTGAATCTAAGTAACAAACAAGCATGCTTCCAGTGCGCAAAGCAACTGGCCCGTGCAGTAGTGAGTATTAGCGCAGATCAGGGTTTGGTGGAAAAATGGTATTTATACAGCTGGGGGGTTCGGAGGTGCACAGAAGGTTTGCCTGGGTTGGAGAGGGAGGAGTGCGTGCAGGTAACAGCAATGGTGCCTCCCGGGATAAGGTTTGCAGAGATGAGTTGGCGATAGTCATGCTCAGTACTACGCATACAGTGGGCGCTCAGTAAGTGTCGCTCAAGACAGAGTGGGGCTCGCGCGGGTGAAGCGTGTTGGCGGGGCGTGTGCGCGCGTGTGCGCGTTGTGTGTGTGTTTCTGCGTGTGTAGGGGGAATCCCTTTCCAAGAATTTCACTCCGGGCGCACCCCACATTTGGGGCCAGACCCTGCTTCTGGGCGGGATGCCCAAGGGCGCCGCGAGCCAGCCTCTAGGGCCCTGGTGCAGCTGGGGAACGGGTCCCCCCTGAGTGCCGAGGGTCCCCGCGCGCGCCACCCCGCGGAGTCGGGGTCAAGGCCGGGGCGGCCGGGTGGCGCGGGCGGGGTGTCCGGACGCGCGGGGCCGGGATGGGATGTGACGAGCGGCGCGCTGTGCATTGTGGGAATCCCGGGGCCGCGGCGACTGGTTCCAGTTCACTCGGCAGCGGCGCCGGGCGGAGGGGGCGAGCGCGGGACGCGCGGGCGGGAAGCGAGGAGAAGGCGGGCGCGCGGGCGGGCCGGCGACGAGCGCGGAGAGAAAAGGCGCGAGCGGACCCCAGGGCACTCCGGCCGGACCCCGTGCTGCTGCCGCCGCCGCCGAGCTGCCCCGTAAGTGCCGCGCGGGGCCCCTCTCGCCGCCGCGCGCGCCGGGGCCGCGGGTGCCGGGGAGCGGCCGGGCCTGGCGCGCGGCGGGCGGCGCGTGGTGGTTCCCGCGGCCCAGGTCGGGGCCTCGCGGGCACCGGACGCGCTGCCCGGCCCGGCCCGTGCCGCGCGGGATTCCCTGGTTTTGTTCGAAGCGCGGACCCGGAAACCAACTTCTCCCGCGGCCGCGTCCCCCTGCCCGCGCCTGGGCGCTTTTGTGGGGAGACAGTGGCGCCCGCCCCGCTCGCCTCCCCCGGCGACCCTGCCTGGAGTGGCCGGCCGGGCCCGAGGCCCCGGAGGAGGCCCCGAGGAGGCCCCGCGGTGCTGGCCGGCGGCCGGGGCCTGCGCGCCCGCGGGTGGCGGTGCGCGGAGTTGGACTTGGTGAGGCGCCCGCGAGGGGCCTCGCGGGCACAATGCGTGGGCCCGGGGGGCTGCGGCGCCGGCGTGGGCTCGGGGTCGGCCTGGAGGCCGGGTGGGGGGCTGGGGGCCGCGCGGCGGGAATGGAGTCAGGCGGGCGCGGGGCGGGGAGGCCAGGGATGGGCCAGAGAACGGGCCATGGGATCTCCCGCTGCTCTCGCTGGGCTCCCGGGCCGCCTTTTGTTTTCTTTGTGGTTGGGAGGTTTTTTTTTTTTTTTTTGAAGGTAACTCCGGAAGGCTGCGGAATCCCAGGATGGAGCTGGCCGGTGGTGGGGGGGTTGGGATCGGGGAAGAGGCTCACGGGGTGGGGGTGGGGGTGGCGTGGAGGGGCCTCGTGGAGAGGAGGAGAAGGTGAGCTTGCTAGACGCCTCTGGCCTGGTCACCTGACAACAGGTGTGCGCGCCTGCGAAGACCATCCGGGGCTGGGATGGTGTCAGCAGATGGGTCGGAAGGTTCTTGATTCAGGCCAAGATGTTCAAGAGACCATTTTCCGAATTTGAAAGTGAGATTTTTCTGTAGAACGCGGCCGTGCCAAACCTTGATTTCAACGATTACAATTACCATGCAGTCCTTTTAAAATTTTAATGATCCAATAAACAGCGTATGAGAATAGACAATTAAAGCGGGATTCCTTGTTAGCTTCTCATTTTCTTCCACCTTTGTGGTCTGAGGTTTTACCATTAAAAGGGGTTGTGGCTGGGGGAGTGCTTTGTTCCAAGGCTTGTGCTCCAGTCAAGGGTGGGGGGTGGTAGGGGCTGGAGGGAACTCTGAAACTGAACCGCTTTGGAGTTGTGACTCCCATCTACCACAGGCCATCTCCGGGGTGTTAGACTGCTCTGAGAGGGATTGGCAACTCTGCAATGGACACCCCCTGCTACAAATGGAATGAACACTGTGTGAGGCTAACCAAAGTTGGTAGTCATCTCAGATCTGTGCAGATGGTCCCTGATAAGGATGTCTGCTTTTAAATGCTCCCCCCCCCCCACCAGACAACAGCAACGAAAACAATCCTCAAGGCTTTAATTCCATTCCAAACCCCAGTCTTGGGAGCGTGGGAACTCTCTCCAGGTTTTTTTTTTTTAATGTTGTTATTGTTAATGCATAAAGGAGCAGGAAAGGGGGTTCAGGAAGGTGGAAGTTGAGGCAGGGCCCTAAGGATAAAGAAGGGAAGATTCATACTAAACATTCAGTTGTCTCCAACATTACAAGCAGCCTTCTGGTCTTCAGGTGCACACCTTGGTGCCACTGCTTTGGTCTTTACTGAATGGGCCGGGCCAGGCACTGAGGGATCACTTCTCACTGCCATTTATTCTGGTTCTGGAGACCAGAGAACTAGGCAGGCTTGGAGTTCCAGCATCTGGGTCCCAGCACTGATATCTCTACAGGCTGACGTAGCCTAAAGCCACTTCTAAATAAACAACAAGCGTAAACCGAAAATCCCAAGTTGACAACGCCAGCAAGACTGTTAGCAAGACTTATCAGATATATACTTCCATTGTTTTTTTCTAGAGTCCCCCATTTAATAGGTTGGAAAATAGGTAGAGTGGAGCCCCTCCTGTGGGATCCCCTTTTCATGTTCTGTGGGTTTAGAAGTACACCGAGACGCACCTAAACCCTTATGAATGATCTCAAGTGGGTCAGCTCTGCATTCCAAAGAGTTGTATAGCTTGTTTGCTTGGATCAAGCCTGCCAGGTACTGCATAGCCTTTCAGCAAATATTTCCTGAGAACCAGTCATGGGTGAGTCGCTGGGGCACAGCGAAACACCCTTGCCCTTGGGAAGCTGCCCTGAGGAGGGGAGACAGGCCTGTGGTGCTCCCAGTGTGGGAACCTAGTCGGGAGTGAGCTCTGATGAGGAACAGGGAGGCCATGTAGAAGCTGGCTGAGCAAAGGAGGGCAGGAGTAGGCACGTGTTAGAAGCCTGGAGAACCAGGCCCCACGTGCAGAGTCTTACTCAAACAATGAGAGCAGAGTTCAGAATGGAGGACTGGTGTTTTCTTGGAATGGCTGATGCAAGTGGGGAGCAGATAAAACTGGTGGGTCAAAGGGGCCAGTCAAAGGATCCTGATTACAGATAAACCAAGTCAGGACTGTACAGCAGGTAGGGTGCTTTTCTTGCACTCAGTAGACCTGAGGTGCATCCCATATGGTCTCTCAAGTACTAATAGGAATGATCCCTGAGTGCAGATATAGGCCCCCAAACAAACCAAAAATAAAACAAAAAGACTGCATCCAGGGACTTAGACCTCATCTGCAGAGCAGTAGGGTGTTATTAAGGACCCTACATCGAAGAGAGATAATGTCAGATGTTCTTTATTCCTGCAGGGAGCTTTTAAGGTTTCAACAAATGCTGAGTGCCAAGCCAATGCCCTGCCCTAATGAAGCTTGTGTTCAAGCTCTTCCTCTGATGGCCTTCCACTGGAATGGTTATCTTAAGAGTAAGACACTGTCTCAAAGGAGAGATGGTGTGAAGTCAGGTTTCCTTCTTCCCGTGAAGTAGACTATTAAAATTGAATGCAACTCAGAAGCGTGCAACATGGTGCATTCCAGAGGGGGTGGTTCAATCCCGGCTGGCTGCCTGCAGATTGTTTCATGGTGAATCGCACTTGTGTTTGCGACTTATCCCAGCACTAAAACCTAACACACAAGGTAGTTCTATCTGCTGAAGCAAAGCATGCGGTTGAGGATTAATTTGCTGTTAACCCTGTTATCCTTCTGTCCTTTTCTGAAGTCCCTTGGTTCACAGAGGCACGCTGAAACTTCTTTCATCATCTAGCTCACCCTGTGATGGAGTGTTTTATGAATGGAGAGAGCTGTTTATCCTGGTTGGCTTGAGTGTCAGAGCAGGTTCTTCATTCTGAGCCAATTAGAGTGCAGCTTGTGAACCCCAGCTCTGTGAGAGAGAGCCGTGGAGTATATCCACATGCCTCTGGGGACATGACAGCAATGATACCGTTAATCATTTGGTGTGATAGAAGTAAACGAGTGAGAACACTGAAAACAGGATTAGTGTCCTGGGCTTTCGAATTAAGGGTCTCTGTTGCCTTCCTGATTGGAGTTGATGGGAAGGTGACAAATGCGTCTGGACATGTGGGCATTTATCCAGCTATGGGGAATGCGTGGGGCCGTCTGCTCTCCACCACAGTGACTCTTGTTGGTAGCTAGGTTCCTCCCTCAACTGGGGATAGGGCATCTGACAAGCAGCTCCCCGACAGTTCTAATCAATATTTTGTTTAGGATCAATATGCACGTGTTCATTGCTGAGATAATAAAAAACAAACTTCACATTGACTCTTCTGGTGGGCTTATGAGTGCTGTGATTATCTGTTTTCCCATGCTTTAAAGGGGTCTGTAGCTTTAAAGGGGTCTGTCTCTGTAGATTGGCAATATTTTCCTGTTGTCTGTGTTACTGAGCCTGTTTTGTGATAAGAGGAGATGTCAGTGGAGCCGTGGACTTGTCAAGGAGTCTTACGTCCTCTGCATGGCTCCCCTTCAGTGACCAGGCAGTTGGAGTGCTCCCTTTTTAGAAATCCCCACGATGGTTTCACAGGCCTCCTGCATTTTGAAGGTCTGGGCTCCTACAGAGATTTGTCTGGTGGTGCATATTCATGGCCCCAGAGAATTCCCCTTCCTGCCTGCTCCTGCCACATCTTGGAGCCCTGTGACCTTTGGAAATTCTGTGTTCGTCTTTTTTCAAGAGAACACCACTTGCTGTAAAGTTCAACTGATGAGCTGCCAACCAGCCAGCATTTGTGAACCTACCAGGGGTCAGTAGGATGATGGGCTCTTGGACATGCAGAGGCGATCAGACCTCACAGATGCGTTCATCATGATGGAGAAAGAATTGGGTGGATGACACTACTGTGAATGCTGCCCAGGGTGTCTGGCATTGGGTGTTACTATCAGCAAGAGCTAGCGCAGTAGTCAGGCCAGAAAATGCATCTGCAGAGTGTTTCACGAATGCTGAGGAAGTATGGGAAGAATGGCAAGGAAGCAAGGGGGATATTAGGAGGGATTATTTAGCTGGGCTAGGGACCATAGTCTACTGAGGAAATGGGAGCAAGTGGACCTGGCTGAGTCCTGGTTGCTGGGGTTAGGAAAAGATGGATTGGAGGTGAGTGGGGGCCGAGTCTGGTGAGAGGCTGCCCTGCATGAGACTATGGCTGTGGGCACAGACAGCCACAGAAGAACTACAGAGAAGGGAGCACCCGAGAGTTTCTGCATCACCAGAGAAGGCCCTGGGACGGCTTGGTTGCCTTGCCTCAGATGCCTGAGCTTGTCTTCCAGGCTGAGCCAATGTCAGGTGCCAGAAGGTGGCTGTGGGAGTAATTGAAGGTGCTGTGTGATGCAGTGAGGAGCCTGGGGAGGTATTTTCTGGGGGGGGTGTAGAATTGTGGGTAGGTTGGTAGGCTGGCCCTCTGCCCCTCAGAGTGGGAGAGGGCTTGTTGTTTTTGTGTCTGTCTCCTTCACTGAACTTATCTCATTCCTATGGGGAGACACTGTCCCAGTCATCCTTCCATTCCTTGGGGGCCTGTGCTCAGACACTTGCTTCTCAGGCAAGCCTGGCTCATCACTTCCTGCAGCCCCTGTTCAACATCGTTTAACCGCATGCCCAGGGGTGAGCTTCAAGTTTCTGCCAGCATGTCTGTTGTGCTTGATTTATAGTTGGAGGAATGGCAGCGATAAAGACCACAGAGATCCCTGCGGGATCCACCACAGACTTTTCACTTCCTGTCCTGAGATCTGTCACAGAAGACAGCGAGCTCATGTAATGGAAGTTGGGACCTTCACTGGCTTCAGAGCATGGCAGCCCCTCTCCAGGGGTGAGGGCTTCTACTGTCTGACTAGGCCCCTCATGGACAGTGAGGCCAGGAGAGAAGGATACTGCTTTGTCAGTTTGACAAGAGTGTAGCTTTCTTTCACTCCTGTGAGTGATGCCAGTGCCCCGAGTGTGAGAATTCCCTTTTCTATGACGTTGGATTGTCTTGTTTTCCAGAAGGGGTGGGATACAGGACATGGGTCAGAGAGCATCCAGCAGGTTTGGACTAGTCACTCAGTCCTCGGCTTCAGAGTCAGCTTTCACGTTGGTTCTTGGTGGGTTTCTTTTTTGAGGGGTGGAATGGAAAGCAGGACATCTCCTGCTTTTCTTGCAGTTTGATGTGGCCATGTGAACCAATCCCTGGTCTGTAGCATGATCAGGATTGGTGTGCCTCCCTCTAGGCCAGCCCTGGAGGCCTGCATGTGCTCTCTCATAGGGCCCTTTCCCTTCTGCAGTGATCCTGGGGATCGGGCATTGAGAGATGGGAAGAACCTGGGTCCATGGATCAGCCCATTATGGAAACCACCTTCCGGCTTGTCATAAGTGAGAAGGAAACTGTGGAGGCTAGTCTGTTCAGCAGCTTGTGTTGCCCTACAAATATCTAAGATCAGTTCTTGAAGATGCCTCCGATACATCATGTCCTCATGTGTGAGCTGTGCAGAGAGCTCAGTGAATTGCGGGACCTGTAGACACATGCTTCTAGTCTCTGGGGGCCTTTGGGTCATCATCTCCTCTTGAGAGAGAAAATCAACCCATGGACAAGAGGCAGTAAGAGGCAGAGCTATGACTCGAGTTAGATCAGATCTGACTTTGGTTCTTAGGATTCCCATGGCCATACCCAATAACTAGTAACCTCACAGTCTGCTTCTCACCACGTGCATGCTCTCACCTCTAGAGGTATCTGGTAAGCAGAATGCAGATAACCATGGGATTATCTGGGGATGGCCTGACTTCAAGGTGATGCTCCAGATGTTAGGAGCTCCTGGATTAGTCAGAATTACATCATAGCTCCAGCTGCAGCATGAGAATACATAGTTATATGTGGCATGAGAACAGGGGGAAATGCAGGACTACCTCCATGGGAGGGGACAAAAATTTGGGGAATGCCTTATTAGAGAAGATCCTGACTCGATGAAATATGAGGATGCTTTTCTACCAACCAGTGGCACTTGGGGCGAGAGGGAGCCCCGATTTTAAGCTCTTTCCTGGGACCCAGGCAGGCGTGGACTCCCAGGGAGGCAGGTTCACAGATGTGTATCGGAAAATGCAGAGCAGCGGCAACAAAAAGCGGCGAACCATTCCTGTTCATGCTCAGGATCCAGCAGAAGGGGGCAGGCATGTGAGCGTCAGGTGAACAGGTTGATGAGAGGACCAAGAACATGGTAGGCCAGAAAAGCAGCACTAAGAGGCTCTGGTCAAAGCAGCGGGCCAGGAAGTCAGGCAGCCTGGGGCATCTGGTCCCCGGCTGAGGCCGTTTGTGGCAGGCTCAGAGTGAGGGGGAAGCAGATGCCAAAGATCTGTTGGAGTCTCGAGAGAGTGAACTAGGAAGGAATTGAGGCTTTCAGGTTGATGCCTGTCTGGTAGTTTGATGCTTGATGTTGTGACTGAGAGGACTGAGACATACAGTCAAGGTCCCCGTGGGACATATAAGTGCACCCTGCCGCAGGCAGTCAGCATAAAGAGAGGCCTGGCACCCAGCGGATAGGTGCGCAGCCCTGGGCTAGCATGGAGGGAAGCACCAGATTTAAGGAATAAGAATGTCTAGGCCTTCTACGTCTGTCCACCAAGTCTCTTGGGCACTGATGGCCCCTCTTTAGAACTGGAAACTCTTATTGCCACAGACACAGCTCCAAGCACAGCCAGGCAGGCCTGTGAGAAGCCTGAAGATGGGGCTGAGCTGGGTCAATCACTGATCAGACCTGTCCCGCTGAAAGAGGCTTTTAGATCAAAGGCCTTGGGTGGGACCATGGCACAAGTTTTGTAGTAAAGCAAGAGACTGCTGGGAAGCCTCAGAGTGGCTTTCCCTACAAACAGCCATGTAGGTGTGTACGTGTAGCATCCCCTGCCCAGGGGAGCTTGGCATTTGCTAGCAGGGGATTGTCATAAAATGACGCTTGTTACCAGCAGTGGAGCTAATGGATTGCTTCAGAGAAATTAGTACCTGCTCTAGCTCCTAGCGATCAATTAAGACTTGGTATCCTTTTGATAGGATGAAAGATGGGGCTCACGTCACACGAGGCTTTAGCCTTCCCCCAGCACAGACCTGAGCTTGAGCCAACTTAATCCTATTGGATCTGTTAACCTCCACTCCCATCTCAGAGGGCTTGGGAGTCCGGCTCTGACATTTTGACCATCTGTCAGGCAAGTGAAATGAATACTGTTCTGGGCCCCTGAGGATTAGGTGTGTCCCTCCAAGAGGGGTGGGTGTCAAGGTAATGGGAACTCCTAAGTCTGTGGTGTCTAGGAGCCCACACACCTGATTTAAATGAACCAGTAACCCAGAGGCCTGCTCATGGGACATGTGGCCTGAGTGTCAGTGTCCTCTTGGGAAGACTTGCCTGCCACCCCAGGCAGGCCCAGATTATTCCCATCCCCTCTTCCAGAAACCTTCCCTGGCCTTTTGAGACGCTCGTCATCCCCACTATTCTGGGAAGGAATGTGGTTTGGTTTATTGTCTCTCTACCCCATATCTCCCATGTGCCCTGCTCTCTGCATTCCCAGCTTTCCTTCCTGAAGCCTGTGCCTAAATGTTGAATGTGTTGGGAAGATGGTGTGAGACCTCAGAGTGTGTGCAGTGCCTGGAGGAGGTGGTCACACTGGGGGAGACAGGAGAGGTTCGGTTCCACCCGTGCAGGGGTGGGAAGTGCACCCAAGTTCAGAGAATGGGGCCACGGCTGGGACCCTCAGGGCGGGGGAAGGCATACCCGGCATAAAGGCACTGCCACTGCAAAGATGAGACATAAGGGGTCAAGGGTGTCTTGGGGAAAGCGTGTCTGAGTTCAGATCATGGGAGGCACATGGTGATCTGATGGAGGCGCCAGGCACGGATTCCTAGGGCATACAGGGGTCTGCCTTTAGTTCAGAGGCAAATTCTTCTCAGGTGTGAGCGTGCTGCAGGAGAGCCCACCTGAAGCAGGAAGATGGAGGAGAGTGGGCGGTGGGAAGGCAGACCTATCCCAGAGATGTCTGGGATTCTTTGTTTGAGGTTGTGATGCCTGGATACAGTCAGAGTTGGGGAGGAACGAGGGTCTCACAAAGGCTTCCTGGGGACTCAGTAGCACTATGGTTGGTGACTGATCAGGTCAGAAAAACACTCTTCTCTCTGCTCTGAAAAACAGCCAATCCAGCCAACAGAGTATTCAGAGGGCCTCTAATTCCAAATTGCACTCCAAATTCTGGGGAGCTTTCTAGCCTCCACGGGTGAAGGGTTGAAAGGTAGACACAGTCCTGTCAGAGAGATCCTGCCTGGCTTAGTGGCTCACACTGGATCCAGTAGCATGGCTTCCTTCCACGAAGGCTTCAGCAGATGGACTGGCTGGAGCCTCCAGTGTATAAAAACGCAATTACTAAGCAAGTCTGGAGAAAGTAGCCAATAAACCCCATTTTCTTTTTAACCATGTTATGCAAAAGGCAAAGCTCTTAAAAACAGGCATGGTCAGATCCCATGTAAGTGACCTATAAAATTGATGTCATGGTATAAAACACGGAGAGACAAATCATTTATCTTTTCAGAGGCCACAAAACACTGCCTTGGAGTGTGAACACTGGGCTTGGGATTCTCAGGTCCTGTGCCGTCCAGGGGGCTGGGGTACACGAAGGGGAGGAGATCTTTACCCACGAGCCTGACACTGTGTCTCTTGCCTCTGCAGAGTGCTTACTGAGCCACCTTCAGGACCACCGCCATGTCGAGCCGGGGAGGGAAGAAGAAGTCTACCAAAACCTCCCGGTCCGCCAAGGCGGGAGTCATCTTCCCTGTGGGGCGGATGCTGCGGTACATCAAGAAAGGCCACCCCAAGTACAGGATCGGAGTGGGGGCCCCCGTGTACATGGCTGCTGTCCTGGAATACCTGACAGGTGAGTGCCCGAGTCAACCATGAATGCCGTGGTCTCGGACAGGGCCTCTCCACACAGTTCTGTGGGGGCTTGCAGGGCCCATTCGGGCGACTGGTGAACCATGCACTGGTACTCATGGGGAGGGGGTGGCTATTTCGTCCCTTTGCTACCTGTCCCTGTTTGGGGACAGGTAGATGTCCCTTTGCTACATCTACCCTGTTGGAATATGTGTGTGTGTGTGTGTGTGTGTGTGTTTGTGTGCTTATATTTTGGTTGTTACACCTTATCCAGTCCACTGTGAGTGTCCTCTAGTGTCCAGGTTACGTGCTGTACACCTGTGTTTGCTTTTCTTTCCTGATCCAGGATCTGTTTCAGGACCATGATTTCCATCTGACTCGCAGATTTCCTGTCTGATTTAATCAAAGCAGCTTTCTGCCTTTGCCCAAGCCCTCGGTGTCATGGATGTTTCAGAAGTGCCTGTGCCAGTGGTTTTTCAGGGTCTCTCCTTCTGAGTGGGCCTAGTGTCTGAGATTAGAAGTTGTGACAGAGGGTCAGCGAGTTCAGCCTGTCCCTGGTGATGCGAGGTCAGTCCTTGGGGAAGACGTTCAGCCACACTTCCCTGTCACACACTCTTTCCCTCAATGGCTGTAGCACCCTCTGTGATCTTTCTTGGTCTGTGGTTACTCAGGTAGTTTATAAAACAACGACTTCTCTGTCTTGGTCATTTGTTCTAACATTCATGACCTAGCATTCTTCTGCAAAGGGGAACTTTCTTCGTCTGACTCCCCCACTCCCTTTTCTTGTTTTCCATACTATTGGTCTTGGTTTATTTATTTATTTATATGTTTCAAGTGTAATGAGTTTTGCACTACCATGTCACCACTCACACTGGTGCTCAGATGGTCCCAGATTTGTCTTACAAGCTGATTCTTTTGCCTGTTTCCTTCCTTTCTGACACAGTGAACTGGCCCTGCCCGGGACTCGCCCTGCTTGCTTTGAAACAAGCACTTTCTGCAGGGGGACCTCGGACTTTTTCATGGTTAGAATCTCGCAGGTAACTGCATAGCTGTTGTGGGACACCAGCTGGTCAGGGCTTCCCCTCCATTTTCAGTGATGAGCCCAGCCTCAGAACATGAAAGGACTTCCATAGGGCCCCCTAGGATCAACACAGACCGAGAAGGGACTCAGACCCTTCTGCCCTGTTGTAAGGCTTTTCCGATTAAGTGCTTCACACATGATCAAGCTGGTGACAGTATGGACACCCTTAATTTTTGCAGCCACCTCTCCTTCAGCTAGAGGAGGGGAGACTTAGCTAGACAAGGTGCCTCTTTCAGGGTGGACAGGTAGGCAGCTGAAGAGCTGGGTTGTGCCTTCCTCTTCCAGGTCTCTCAAGGAAACCAAGAGCTCCCCCAGGAAGAAAATTAAGTGTCTTCCTGCTCTGTGGGAAGCAGCTATGCAAGAGAAGTCGTTGCAGTACTGGAAGGAGTCTGTGCCTCCTGTAGGACTTTTGTCTCTCAGCTTGTCTGAGACGTTTACAAGCGGCATGCCCGGGAACACAGGCTATTCCAGATTCTCAAGATACACATGAGGAAACAGGTGCAGAAGTTGTGTGATGCCCCCAGGAGGGCCACATCTAATGTGGGTGCCAGCAAGGGAGCTGGGGAGACAGAATGAGACAGGGAACAAAGAACAACCTCATTCTTGCAGGCAGTGTGGCCTGGAGCCCAGGGGCCTGGAGAGAGCCCCTCAGTTGCTGGCTCTGTGTCCTTCTAGCTAAAGGGGCGGCAGGGGGGTTGGGTGGGGCACAGTCTCTGTTGCACCCCCGCATGGGGCTTTGGGTGTCAGGGGGAGCTGCCCTGCTGGGCAGAGCTAGCCCATTCCTGCTTCTTGGGTCCCAAGCACCGTAGCGTCCTATCTCAGGCGTCCACAGACAGTCACTAGACTTCGTAGGTCAGTTTCATTTTCTTCCACTGTTTCCCTTGTCCTGTTTTCAGTGCCACAGGCTGGGGGAAGCCCATTTCCCCATGACACCGCCACTTTCTGTGCCACAGAGAAAACCTGTTCACTAGCCTTGTCTGAACCTGAGCATGGTGCTCATGGGGCCAAAGTCCATGGCACTGTTCTGGAGGGGCAGAGACCTCAGCTCTGCACCACACCTCTCATGCCAAGGAGGAGTGGTGCTGAGCAGAAAATGCAGAGGGGATGGTCTGGCTAGCCTGGCACAAAGGCCCAATAGAAGCTCAAGGGCCAGAGAGATTGTGCAGTGGATAGGGCTCTTGCCTTGCATGCAGTCTATCCAGGTTCAACCAACCTGGCCCACACATGGCCCCCTGAGCCCTACTGGGAGTGGTCCCTGAGCAGAGAGCCAAGAGTAAGCCCTGAACATGTTGGTTGCCCGCGCCTCCCCCTTCCCCCCCCCCCGGCCATGCTCACTTCCCCCCCTAAAAAAATGGAGTGGTAGCTGAAGGCTAATCCTTACTCTCTGGTACCTGCCACACTGACTTTGGCAGACTACAAAAGTATATATTGTGCATATGCTGCCTGAGCCCATGTTCTGCTTGTGCCTATGTGGCCAGGCACATGTGTCGCCTGAGCATACGTGTCTCTCACATCTCCCCTCTTGAGCTGTGTATGGGTTTCTCTCTGCCTATGGTAAAGCCGCATTCTCCCTTGAACACCTTATTCTCTCTCCCTTTGCTCTCCCTCCTTCCTTTTCTTAAAAGCCTCCCCGCCAAAAAAGTATACATATATACTGGGGATCAAGCCCAGGGCCTCCCTCATGCCAGGCACATGCTCTACCATGGAGCTGCATCCCCAGCCCAAGATCATTGTGGATCTTTAGGTCATGCCAGCAGAGGCCCGGTCAGGTGAATCTGAGCTGCATCCTCTGCCCGTGTGTGCAGCTGTTGTGCAATCGCTGCTCCAGATGGTGGTGTTCAACATCCTGAGCCGTTGATGTGCTCAGTCACGACTGTGGCCACTTGTTTCCTCTTTGCCTGATGGGGTCGGAACTGAACTGAAAGTTGATGTCTGGTGTCAATGTTACATCTGTTCTCTCAGCTCAGAGCTATGAGACAGTGTTTCTCAAAGTGCACTCCCCCCCCCCCAAAAGGGGCACTGGAACAATCTAGGGAGCAGGAGTAGCCTTTGGCACAATTGGGGGATGCTTTCTGTTCACTTGCTTAAAGATGGTAGATTTCCAGGGAGATACTCACTGCATTTGGATTTATTTTGCTTTTTTGAGCCACACCCAGCAGTACTCAGGGCTTACTCCTGGCCTAGCACTCAGCGACCACTCCTGGTGGTGTTTGGGGGACCATATGGGGTGCTGAAGATCAGACTCTGGTTGGCTGTGTGTAAGGCAAAGGCTCTCCTTATAGTTCTCTCTCCCCAGTCCCAAAAGGCACCTCTGAGAAGTGTGTAATGCTTTTTACGGAAGGATTTTTCAGAACTTTTAACATACTAGTGTTGCTGTGGGTCTCCAAGGGGCAGGAAAGGGGATCTCTCCAGGTTCCCCCACTTTTCACAAAGGCCCTTGGAGGCTCACATCCTGCAAGCGTGGGTCATGGCACTCTGTGAGGGACATTTGTGGACTGGGCCAGGAGCAGTGGCAGTATGAGGAGTGCTGGGTGGTAAGACAGAACTGAAAGCCATGAGAAAGGATAAATTTGGCTCTGGTTTGCTGTGGTGTCCAGCGTAAAGCTTGGCCAGTTGACTAGGATGCCTGGGTCCAGGCAGGGATGTGGGAGCCATTCCTGACCAGCTAAGCTGAGCACCCTGGGCCCTGACTTGGGGAGGACCTCCTGGCCGCCAGACCCAGAGTAGTGCCTGCGTTTTAGAAGCCAAGAGCAGCTTCCGGGAGAGCAAACCCAGGAGGGAAGAGTAATCTGAAGACTAATCAGAATATTTTCACTTGTCTCCTTAGAGAACAGGCCGGCCCCGAGTCTCCAAGCCCACAGAGATGTTGGTGCACGGCACCTCTTTTTCAGGGGTGGGGATTTAGAATTCCCATCCGTCCTCTAGCCTGGTCATGTGCCACGCTCTGCCTCCTTTACCTCCTGGGACCCTCTCTCAGAGGGTTTCCTGACTGGGGGGAAGGTAGGAAGCCTGTAGAGTGGGGACTCTGGGTGATGTTGTGTGTGGTGGCATGGAAGGAGGCCCGTTGGCCTAAAGACATGTCCTCTGCTCCGTGTCAAATCCTGTTGCCTGATAAGGTCATGGCGACGTGCATTTGTTTTTCTCTCGTCTTTGGATCTTCTCTACAAAACCTCTGAATTGCCTCTGCTGATTGTCTTCTTTCCTCCCGCCCAAGTCCTGCCCTGCTCCTGTTCATGTTTAGGAGGTTGGCCTTCCCTCTCCTTTCTTCTGAGGGGCCCAGCAGGTCTGTGCCCTCACGGCTGGCGCCCCTGTTGGAAACTGCCTGATGGCCTTTTGCTGACATGCTGACTTCTTGCTCCCAGCAGGGCCCTGCAGGGGATCTCATGGCCTTTCAATAGCCGGGCTTGGGCTGGCTCTTCGACCTAATGGTTACTCAATAAAATGGCAAGGAAAAGGTGTGGCTGTTAAAATGGCCCTTGGCTATGTGGATTTGACTCACAAGACAATTATCCTCAACCTGGGTTTTGTCTTATTTGGTATTGGTATCTGACCCCTCAGTTACTTCAGAAGTGTGTGTCCCTTTGTTGTTAGTCACTGGGCCACTTTCTGTCACCACCCCACCTCCTGTAAGTGCTGGAGAGAGTCCTACCTACTGTGCTGAAACTCATTTCCCAAATAGCCATCATACTTGACATTTCTGACAGGGGAGGAGAAGGGCCGCAGGGTCTGGAGGACTGAGATAGGCAGAGCCTGTGGCTGGCTCTGTCACGTACAACGATTCTGCAGCACAGGCCTGCCCAGGACAGCTGAGTGCTCCCTATGGGAACATGCGTGACTGAAAACAGAGCAGAGAGAAGTAAAGGTCCCGAGTGCTCTGAGGCCTCTGAGGCCCTGCGTCCCTGGCTTGGCTGTGATCACACCTG